AACTAAGCGGATCAATTATATATATTTCCATCGCGGATCGAACTTACTTTGTTTCCACAAAATGAAGTGACTTTTTAATTTCTTTAAGAGAACTTTCCATGTAAAAGAAATCACGTATTTATGTGTGAAAGACTCGAACTTAGTGTAAGTTATTTTTCACAAATCATTTTCATTGTTAAAATTAGTCGTCTTTGGTGATGATTAATGATAATATAATCATTATAAAGTATATTATATTGTGAAGATTTTGGCGACAAAGGAGTATTTGTACAAATATATACTTTCATCGTTAAAATCCTCAATCAAAGATTTATAATATTGCAGTCAGAATATTATTCTTTATTGTTATAATATTACAAAGATTATGTTGTAGTGATTATTTAACGTCATGAATTAATGTTTTGACAATAAAGCAATATTTGCATTGTTGAAATCTTTAGCCAAGTCTAGTTACAATACTGTAACAATTACAATAATAAAATCACATAGAATAGTATAATCACTATAAAGTGAAGAGTATTTGCACAAGCATACTTTCATCGTTAAAATCCTTCTAAAGACAAGATTTTAGTTAGATCTCGACGACAAAGGAATATTTGCATTTTTAATGAAAAGTGATGTGTATCGATTGGTAGATTCTGAGCCCTCGGTAAATCTAAGAAATCCTTTAATGGAGAAATATGACTGTATCAAGAGTCGCTTCGCGATTTTTCTTTTATTTTAATACTTTGAACAATTCTTTGCACACTCGAATATTTTTCTCCTCAGCATTCCTTGTTTCTACGAAATCTACTGAAAACGAAAACACGTCCTTTTTACCGGGATTTCTACACGTTCTATTTCTACGACAGTAGTTTGTAATTCTAGATAAATTACAAGGCGCAAAATTATATATAAAAAAAAGTACAAGGCTCGAAAGGCCAGAAATTATATACAGAGAAATTACATTACACAAAATTGTAAGAGAGTTACCTTTAGAAATTGTAAGAGGGTTGAAATTCGTGACAGCTAATAACACGTTCCGTGCCATGTGTACCACCGGTGGTACACGTTAAACTTGATC